CGCACCACTTCTGAGCGCAGCAAACAGCATCTGCATAGATGTACTGTTGCTGCCTCAGCAACTTCAGTCCAGACTCCAAAGCAAGATTGCATGGCTGATATGACTGCATGTGGCATATGGCTGTTGCCTGCTGCTGTGTAGAACTATGCACTGCCCTGCGCAACCGTGTGACGTTAAATATTGCTGTTTATGACAATACAATACAATGCAACATAATACAATGGATTGCAATGATCCAATACACTACGGTACAATGACTCGCAGACGACTCTGTGTTGGCGTATGCCACGAAGATTTTTCTCGTGGAGAATGTTGTGTACTACTGGGTCGCACAAATATAGTGCCAACACTCACCGTAGCACAAAATTTTGCAGTGTGTCCTTACTTACAGATAGATAGGTAGATAGATAGCATGCTAGCTACATAATTACAGGCTACAGGTAGAATTTCGTTTCTGAATGCCTTCCCCCGCTCACGAGAAAGTCGCTTGGTTTCATGTCTGATGTCAACCCAATTCCGAAGCATCGCATCAAGCAGTTGGAAGCGTGGCGTGCCGCAATACACGCACAAAACAAGAAAACTGCAGGGACAAGCATGTCAGGGTTCCACCTGTACCCCTCAACTAGAGCGGACGGCATCAAGTTGCCACTTTCTGTATAAGTCCAGCACTGAACCGTACCGTTTAGGTTTAAAACTGGAAAACACATGCGTTTGGTTCATTTGGTTTAGCTCGGATTCAATTTTGAATGAAGCCTGCATGAAATCCAAAATTTTCCAGGAAAAAGATTGAATCTTGGATACCCACAGGATTGCTGCAAATCTGAAACTGAACCAAACGAATTAAGTCCACGAGAAGCGGTGTCAGGTGGAGATCGAACTGATGTAACAATCACATCTGCTGCCCATGAGAAGCAGCCACGAAACACTGTCTTTAGTGCAGTATTGCTGATATGTTGTAGGTTCCCCATGTTCAATCAATCGTCCCTGGTACTGGTCAGCACCACCCAAACAAGCATTCAGTCATTACTCCATGAGGCTTCTCGTTTCACCCTACTACTAGCTTAATAGGCTAATGCTTCCGGGCCCACACTTTCCAATAGCAATTGATGGGATGATTAAAGTGGATTAATGCTGTACTGTGATCTTAAACCAGTCATATGGTCAAGCACTTTGGACTCATAGCTTCATAAATTAGTGGCTTCAGGGTTTAGTGGTTATGCGGTGGCCATACCGGTTAGCATAGTGACTCTTTCGTAAACGAATCGGTTAGGTTGCACGGTCCAGTGGTTTCGTCGTAACAGCGCGATGGCTTAAAGACGAGGGCGTGTGTTGCAACTGCTCAGATCAAATTTTCATTGACTGGGGCTTCAGCCTCACTTAACAGGTCTCAAATTTTGCTATCTTAAGAGCAATGCTTTAATGGCTAGAGCCCCGAGCTCGAGGAGCCTGCAACACAAATTCGAAAGGCCAGATTAACAGGCTTGTATGTATACTAGGGGAGGCAGTCCGATGCCGCAACTCGAGCTACGGCGGCTTGAGCAGACTTGGTCAGGGGCCTCGCGCCTCGTTGCGGGTTCGTGCTGTAACCTTTGGCTGCGACGCAGAAAGCCTTTCCGTGCTTCATCAATCAGTTGCAACGAAAATCTAGCAAAATGCTGTGTTTTCAGAATGTTCTGCCAAAATATGTCAAAACTGCCAGCGAGAGCACAGTACATAAATCCAGTAGCACACACACTTTTATGGATAGCTACACGATCTGAGATATACACATACATTTGCCTTAAACGCCACACACATCCACTCATATCGAGGTAACGAGCGCTGAGGCCAGAGCTCCTTGAAAGGGTGCTGCTTTGCAGCTGAGGCTGCCTCGAATCCTGAAAGGTCCTACTCCATCTCCTACTAAACGACGACTACTATTACTACTGCGACGACGACTACTACTACTACTACTACTACTACTCCTACTACTATTACTACTACTACTACTACTACTACTACTACTACTACTACTACTACTACTACTACTACTACTAGGCGACAGCGTGCTCCTGTGACCCCCCTTTCGCCTCCTTTGTCGCATGCCTCTGACTGTGACCTCTCCCCTTCGCATGCGGCAGCCGTTTGGTTTCTGCGCCACGGCACTCTGCGCCCCGGCACACTGCTTTGTTGCCCGGCTTTGGTTTTGCTCTCTTAGACTCTTAGACTGGTTTGGTTCGGCTTGGTTTCGTATGGCTTGGCTTGGGCTTTACTTTTACATAGGGTCTTACCTAGGTCTTATTGTTAGATAGGGTCTTAGTGTTAGATAGGGTCTTATTGTTAGATAAGGTCTTATTGTTAGATAGGGTCTTATTCTTAGATAGGGTCTTGTTGTTAGATAGTGTCTTATTGTTAGATAGGGTCCTATTGTTAGATAGGGTCTTGTTGTTAGATAGGGTCTTATTGTTAGATAGGGTCTTATTGTTAGATAGGGTTTTCCTCTGTCACAATGGTGAAAGGAGATCTTTTTCAAAATGGCTTGGCTTGGCTTGGCATATTGTTAGATAGGTTGTTAGATAGGGTCTTATTGTTAGATAGGGTCTTATTGTTAGATAGGGTCTTGTTGTTAGATAGGGTCTTATTGTTAGATAGGGTCTTATTGTTAGATAGGGTTTTCCTCTGTCACAATGGTGAAAGGAGATATTTTTTAAATTGGCTTGGCTTGGCTTGGCTTAGATGCTGTTGCATGCTCATGTAAAATGATTGTGGAGTGCCGTTTCCACCGCAGGTTTTAGTAGTAGTCTCCGTAGTCGCCCGCCTTCTCCTCTAAAGTAGTAGTCGTCGCCCGCCTGCTCTTCTAAAAATAGTAGTCGTTACCAGCCTGCTCCTCTAAAGTAGTAGTAGTCGCCCGCGTGCTCCTCTAAAGTAGAAATACTTTTCCGCCTTTTGAAGCTTTAGGGCCAGTTAAGGGGGTCACAGGAGCACGCTGTCGGCTACTACTACTACTACTGCTACTACTACTACTACTACTACTACCACTACCAGTACTCGTACTCGCACTGGTACTGGTACTGCTGCTACTACTACTACGACTACTCCTACTACTTGTGACAGATGTGGTTGACGTGGTAGAAGACAAAGTAGAAGAAGTAGTAGTACTAGTAGTAGTCGTGGTAGTAGTAGTAGTAGTAGTAGTAGTAGTAGTAGTAGTAGTAGTAGTAGTAGTAGTAGTACTAGAGTTCTAGTAGTAAGTAGTCAGTAGTAAGTAGTATGTAGGAAGTAGGCTGCTACAGTTTGAGCACATGCCTGAGCATGATTCAACAGCCTCTAGACTCTAGCATCCTAGAACTGCTTCTTCGCATGCAAGGATCTGCTGCTACAGGCTGAGCACATGCCTGAGCGCATGCGGCTGCTGAAACAAGAGTTCATGTGCATCTGCGATCAGAACGGGTAGCTGCCTTCACAGCTATCTAGGGATCATCTTCATTAACCGGGGCAGACATCGAAACCGTCTGTGGCATGACTGCTGGCCGGTAAGGCAGGTACAGTATCCTAGCCAAACTGGCTGGCATGCTGTTGGCAGTTATCATCCGCTTCCTGATTTCCCAGGAGGAACTCTAAATCAAGCCGAGCTGCTAAGTGGTCGCTTGCATCCCTGGTATCGACAAGGGGAGCTTCGCATCCGATAGAGTCTCACAAAAACGCTGCACCAGCTGCTCGCAAGACATGCTTGGCCTCCGGATCTTTGCCGGTTGCAAGCTTGTTTCGCCTCAGCCAGGTTGTCAAGAAGTCTTGGACCTTCAGTCCCAAACTCCCGACGCTCAATTATTGCCAAGGTCGAGACTCTCTGACGGCGCCGGGCGGCAGTCGGATTGCCGGATAAGTCATGAAGCTGAATTCTTCGTCCTGCTAAGTTGCCCCTGCTTGATTCTGTAGATGCCTGCCACATCGTTCTGCTGTCATACCAGTCCGCTGCAGTAGTTCTAAATTGGAAAAATTTCGATGGTGCCTTCTAGTTGTGGTTGGTACTTGCTTCGGACAGAGATGCAATCTGCGTGGCACTCATGCGGAGGGTACCTCCGCATAGCCTCAGCACGTTAGGACAAGGCTGCGGGTCTCCAAACATGGAGCAGCTCGTTGTGGATTCCAGGCACGAGGCATCCGGGAGAACCACGAATAATGTCCGTGGGCACGCAGCACACACGTTTCCGAGCTTTGAGACCGTGCCCAGGGAGGATGGAACGCTTGCAGTGGAACTTGAGAGCTTGAAACGGGCCTGCAACGTCACGAAACTGTCTGCCGCCGAGGCGACGTGACATCACAGAGAGCTGAGAGAGCTGGAACTGCGCTCCTGCGCCATCAGGGTCCGAGAGGAACCCTACCAGTACCTGCTTCAGAAGCCAAGGTAGCTGCTCTTACTGAGAGCAAAAGCAGCTGGAAAATCTGTTATCACACGCAACGAGTCGCAACACACATTCGCATGCGACCCGCAGGTGATACAGTTGAAAACCTCGAGGACAGCCAGAACCCTGAGCTGTGAGCCGTTTAGAGAGCGTCTCACGAGATGGCCCTTTCCGTCCAAAGGAGGATGTACCCAGCGCCGAGCGCCAGGATTCAATTGGAAGCATCTATAGTAGATATGTAGAACCCCTCGTGATTTTTCGTTAGGATGTTGTGATCCGCGATTGAAGCCTCCGAGTCTTCCCGCGATCTGGAGACTGCCGCATGGGTGCATCCTACAGACTACGACGGTAGCTGCTACAGTGCACAGAGGGCCTTCGCCCCAGCACACATCGTCGTCCGGCATTTTCCGGCCAATTCCAACTCCGCAATCAGGTTTCCTGATGGGGCCCTGGTGCCTAAGCCTAGTTCCAGGCTCAATCCTGCGGCACTGTGTGCAGCATTAGTCAGATGTTGGCCGTAATTCCCACTAGTTCTCTCCCTGAATATTTCACGCGTATCCAGAGCCGAAGGTGCGAGGAACATTGAAAACTCAGACCAGACAACTCAATGCAGAAGCTTCACCGGGAAAAGCAAGCATCCTTCAGCCCACTTTTGCCCCAGAATGCACTACGGCAGATGGACCTGACAGCAGAAACGTAGCGGGCAGGATTTGCCCTCCAATGCGTCACATGCACGGGCCTCCTGTTATAGACCTTCGTGGGGAATGCCTCATTGCCCAGGAAGAAGCCAACCTGTCGAAAAAGCTCCGGGACATTCGAAAGCCAGCGACCACAAGTACAGATATGACTTTATAGACGGATGTGTGTGAGTGTGTGTATATACGTAACGTATAGTATGGATATGGGCATTACAGAGAGCGTATAGTTTATAGTTAACACAAACATGCAGGAACATGTGCACATCATTATACACAAGCGACTGTACAGCAGAGTCACCCTGTTCCATCATCTTCACCCGTGGAAATGCAAGCAGATTGCACTGGCCATGCCTTCATGCTCTCTGTCATCGGGTAGGAGGGCCTGGAGAGGCGGAGCAGGCACGGGGTTCATCTTATAACGATGCAATAGACTAGCCACGCTTCCTATGTCCCACCGACTATCCCTGGCAAAACCAGCGGACTGGTCGAGGTGTTTAGCAGAACTGCAAGCGAGGCAATGCAAAGCAGCGGATTACCGGCAGCTGTGGCGACAAATCCCGGTCGCCCGGAAGAATCTCTAGCCACCGGGTGGGTTGGGCGGGTACTCTGAACTGGCTACCCCCAAAGACACGCAAAAAAGCTTTCGCCGAAAGGCCACGGACAAAGCATCCTCAGTCCTTTCCCTTTAGATCAAAACGACCGCACTTGAATCAGATGCACCTTCGGTGTACAATCCGCATCAGAATTAAGCAGCTGGCTAGCCCGCACACTGTCGTCCCTCATGCTCTGGTACGAGTGTGTTGACAACTCAGTTAAATAAGCGGAACTAAATGTATACCACATTTGGCAACTTGAGTCCGCAACGGGCTCGACATGTCATTGTGTCTGGCATAGCAGGAACTTGGATCCCAACTTCGGGGAAGAGGTGCCGCAGCGAGAGCCACCCCAGTCTGACCTGGTCCGTTAAACGAATGGTTTCAAGCAATCAGGGCCCGGGGTATTGTCAACCTCACTGGGGCAAGGACGAGCCACAGCTTTGAGCTGGCGGTCCTCGGCGACTCGACCATGAGCGTGAGAAAGGCGCGACATTCATGATTGTCATCGGCTCCACGTCGCAGCCCTTGTGACATAAGCTACCAGTTACCGGCGGTAGCTTTCGTTACACCTACCACCATGCTTGGAGTTCTCTGGTGCTTGGGCGTTGTTGCTCTTCAGCAAGATCTCATCGAGGCCAGGGCCAATGTCGTCGAAGTCAACCACCCGACTGTCCTGCTCATCTGCACCGGACTAAAATCCAGTTCATCTGGTCTGCGTACATAGCATTGGCATGAACCCACCCGGGCAGAGCACGTCAAGGCAATGCTTCGACTCTTCGTTGCCGAGGGATGGGAGCTTCTTGATAATTATGTCCCTGATAAATGCTTTTGGTGCCATGCTTCGTCTTCATCAGACGCTGCTCTCCTTGACAGTGCACGAGTCGATCATGCTCTGAAGGAATGCTTTTGCTGCTGACCTGCACAGGGGCCCGCTTTTTCGCAAGCTTAACGCAGTCATCACTCACTGTTGCGCATTGCAAGGCTGGCCTGCGTCGCTCACCTAGGTGAACAGATGCTGACAACCAGTCTCATATGAACCTTTGGTTCGACAGGTGCAAGGAGCGTGCCAGACTGCGCCGAAGAGCGTACGGCACAAGGGCCGATGGAAGAAGGCCTGCAAATCATCGCGTGGTGCCCGGAGAGGCCTGAGCGAGAAGGAGGACCTCGTTTGCTTATTCTTGATGGCGTCTGCGAGGGCATCTCTTCGGTACCTGCGAATGGATACTATGCACATGTGAGAGAAGTGTGGCTCATCTAAGACTGAGCCCGAGGCGCTGAAGGGGCGATGGAACGCGGGGAAGCCATCGGTGTTTATCAAAGGCAAAGCTGGTGCAACGAATCACACGCAATGCAAGCAGCAGGTAGAGACCTGTAATGAAATTCATATCTTGTGAACCCGAACCCGTACTAACTAGTACCAGAACGTTTGGGCCAAAATAAACTCTGATGTTCAAGCTCGTATGGCAAATGCCTTGTTGCGGAGCCGACAGGGTGAAATAGATAGAATACAGTCTTGGAAACCACTCGTCCTGGATGCTGTGCCTCTCCAGAACTGAAACAGGATCGCGCAACCCTTTCTCAGATTGCCTTGTGCCCTGATCCACCAGGCAAGTCTTCAAGTGGAGGCACACGTCCGCTGCCGACCATACTTGCTATGACCTGAATGTCTACAGTTTTGGTGTGTAGAGCATGGATCGAACCTCGGTTAAGGATTTCAGGGACTTGTCAGGTGCGATTTGCTAAATGATGTTGGGACATGCAGAAGTTGAGCACCCTCTGACAATCGCCGACATTTCATCTTTGAGACAACAGCCTCTAAAGTGACCTGCAGGCGGTCTGAGACTTTTCTCTCCAGGTTCGGGGCCGTAGATGGCGAAGCTGCTGCAAGTCTTTGCTTACTCAGTCTCACGCGGACGAGGCTCCAGCCCTCGTTTCAGGTGACAGCCTACTCAAAATGCGTTTCTCTCTCAGTCTGCACTCCAGGCTTCGATCGCACTGAGGCCTGCACTCATATGGGTCATTACCACACTGTTTCCGTTTTCAGGAAGCACTTCCTGCAGATATCAAACGTAACCAACTTGAACGCACCGTGTTTTCTCATGGTGCGGACTGCCTGTATCATGTCAGGATAACACAAGAAGAGCCGCAGGACACCTTTGCGCCTGGCCAATCCGACGCGCGAGGTCCGCTTCAAGTAAAACTCGATCAGTCTATACGGATTTCAGATGCTGGCTCGTTCATTTCCTTGAGGCATCGGGCCATGCTCTTGACCTGTACACCGAAGACAAGCCTGCTTCATCTGTAGCTGCATGCGAGCAAAGGTTACCTAAAGAGTGCACAAGCTCAGGCTGTGGCTGCGAGGCTCACACTTTGTGCGCCCATGGCGCACACCAACGGCTCCGACCTCTCACCAGCACACCTCAAGAGGGTACTGAAGTGCTGCAAAAACTCCCAGACGCATACGAGCGCATCTACGAGCGGCAACATGGGAGCAGCGATGCCTGCGTGTCCAACAGGTCGTGATTGCGCCACTAAGCTGGTCGATCTTCGTCTGTTGTCCCACCTCGGACAGCTCGAGCTTCATGGACAATGCTCTTCTGGGGCTGCGAGATTGCTGCATCTCTGTGACTCAAGCTCTTAGTCGCTCCTGCTCCGGAGCGTCGTAAGGAGTGTACGGCCTGCCGAATCAAGCATGGCCCCAACAACCGCGGAAGATCACTCGCGTGGAGCCTTTGTTAAGGTCCCGGCCCCTTTATACCGACGACTTTCATGCTAAGCCAATAGGAGTCACCCGTCCTGGTCGCGGAAGACAGGTCCATGTTGTTGCTTCCCGAAGCAAGGAAGGAAGTGCAAACGCTGAGCACCCAGCTTGCGCAGTTGGGGGACAAAACCGACCCGGTGGAACCATGGCACCTCCAATCCAATTATCGTTCTGCCAGGCCAGGGCTTAGAACGGCGGGACTGTGTGAAGCAGCAGAAGACCTAGATTCTACGACGGTGAGTAGTGTCTGAAGTCTTGCCATGACCAGTAAGCTGGCAAGATCAGCTCAATTGGTTTAGAGCTGCCGCTGTCGGTGAATCAATGGCATTGTGTCAATCGTGTTGGCAGCAAAGTTCAGTACTCCACGGCGGGCATGTTTTAAGTGCGACACAAGACGGGCACAGGCACATTCAGCATCGGAAGGTTTCGGGTTCGGGGCCATCGAGTCGACACATCTAACATCATCCAATGCAGCCAGGGCATGTTGTCTCAGAAACGGCCAAACCAGAAACTGAGGAAGCTTCGCACCATGTGCACTTACCCATGGCTGCCAGCGCACCTCACCGGTGCTCTCTCCTTTCCGCTTCTCTTCCGCGAATTTGTTCACGAGCACCACAGCCTTGGAGGTTGCCGCTTGACCCCTCTGGCTTCGTTAGCACCACTGTGTCATGACATGCACACTGCTGCAGGTTTGCAGAATATGTACGCCATACCGAAACCACTTCTGTTCGATTCAGACCACCCTACGGCTACAATGTCATGCTTGTTCTCAACTCTACCACTTCGCATCAACATGCCTCCGCAGAGCTCTATTGCTATCAGTTCTGCTCACGGATCACTCGAAACTCGCAAGCATCGCCTGCACATCGAAGGGTTAATGAACGTCGTCCCCTTGCGACCCCTGTGTCGTCTCAAGCCCCTGTATCCCTAAACCCCCATGCAGCGAAAACACCTTCAAGCCCAGCAGCCCAAGCGATAGTTTCAACGTTTGAGATTCCGAAGCGGTTCAACTGTGGGCGGGTGGCCTTCAGACAGTTGTCGATGCTCTTTTGGCCCATGCCTTCCAGAAAAGTCTCCTGCCTGCAACATCTGTCCGATCCAAGGGCCATGCCATGTAAATAACAGCGGCTGGACTCCGGACAGACAGCTGCCCAGGTCCTTCGCTCTGTTCGCAGAAATACCCCTCCTGCCAACTTTGCCATGTTGACTCCTGCAGCTGCACATCAGAAGCATGCGAGGTGGAAATGCATGGAAAAGCCTATTCTTGAAGGACTTGCAGTCCTTCCCCTTTTACTCTGAAGTACATCTCCGGCTGGTCGTCGCGGAAAGCCTTGTGCAATGTCAAGTAAACAGAACCTTCACCGTGCATCACATCCTGATACATGGTAGTGACCGAGCGCAGATGCCAAACTGTCAACACCCTGACAGCTACATGACGGCAGCTGGCATGGATCTCATGATGAATCTGCACGGAATCTCGGTGTGGCGCGAATTTCCTGTGCCGCACAGCTGCTCCTGTCAAATTGATAGGCTGAATCCTTGAGGTGAGCACACTTCTCCCGTTTGTGGCGCGAGTCAGTTTCGAGGGAAGTCGAGATCCCATCCCACGCGGGGATCACGGGGTTTACGATGTTTACGATGTACCAAGGACAGAAAAGGCAGGTCGATGCCTGCATGGTGCTGCATGCGGCTCAGCATCGCCATCCGCGGTGACAGAATCATGTTCGAGAATTGTTGCACTTAACAGGGCTAGGTTCGAAATTGGATAAACATGCTAATGCGGACACGAACGCTGGAGCTTCTTGGCAGTGTGTCTGCTGTCTAGTCACTAGTCGCATCCAGCCTGTGGCGTCTTCTTTGTGACAGGGCAGTGCTATGGTTCTCCGGCGGGAACGCAGCTGCCGGTAGGGTCTTCAATCAATTCATACCGTGAAAGATCGTCAGCTTGCTCCAATGGCGATGTCCAACCGCAGGCATCTGTCTCTACTATCTGTCTGGAGAAAGAATGCGATTCGCCTCTTGAAGTTGAAACCCTACTGTGACTGTCGAAGCGCACGGATTCAACGAACGCGCCCTTTTCCTCGACGCTTCTCAAGCGCCACTTGGGTCAGAACGCTGCCAGTTTCTTAGCATGTTTTTAACAATGCACTTGGATTTGGGTCGAACTGCCCAGGTGAGACAGGCCTTCTGCACGGGTGGCGAGAGCTCAGCCGACTTCGGCCCGACGTCTCCAATGGGGCATGGCCTCATGATGGAACGATGTGATCTTAGGCATCCCCAGCCCTCTGACTGAAGCTCTGTAGAAATAGCAGAGGCATGCCAGACATTCTTTGCCAATTTGTTGAGTACTCCTCCCACTCCCATGTCAAGGATCTCAAACCGTGTGCAGAAAGGATTGGCTATACCTAGGTCCTTAGGCTCTGCACTTCCCGAGTCCGCTACGCTCATCACCTCCGGATAATCCGCCTGTCGGGATTGGGATACCAAGCATCTCGAGAGGAGAGGCCGAGCTCCGGGCTCTCATGCCCTCCAAGCACTTCATCAGCGCTTGCTGCTCGGCCTTTCTTTCACAGTCGCACTGAGGTGTGAAACTAGGACTGCACATCCGTATATGGTTCCCAGCCTTCTTGCCAATCATCCCGAGGCAATGAAGAACGCGCGAAATGCGCAACCAGTTGTGGTTCCTGGCAGTTTCTTCACTCACGCAAAATGGCATGTATTCAGCTTCCGGGCAATTTTGTACTATAGCAATGTTTGATAATGTTGCTTATGAGCTGGCGTATCAGCTACATTATTACATTGCAATATATTGCAGTACATGTTCGCAGGTCACAACTGAAACACAACGGAGGTGGAGATCCAATCCAGCACAAGACCTCGACGAAAAACTGTGAGATGCCAACAGAAACCGCTGAATTTAATTACCGGAGACGGGCAGCCGGGCAGAGTCTGTGTGGAGCAAAGCTCGGTTCACACAGCACAGAGATGGTTGAGACAAACAGGTCAGGCGGGCCCGCCGAAAAAAGATGACCAGCAGTCCCTCTCCCTGTGTCATGATTTCACTCGAATTTGGCTGACATCACCTACTCCGCCCGACCCTGTCTTTCCGCACTTCACACGACAGTGCGAAATTCTGGGCAGCCGGCCGGGATCTGAAGTGGTCGGCCCTGGTAGCGCTCAGCTTAGGACAATGCACTGCGCATGTCTGCTTTAATACTCCTTAGTTTATCGTGACGATGACGATGGTAAGCGTGCAAATAGTAAAACGGAGCGATGGTCATGATGCTGGAGAATGATGCGGATGCTGATGACGATGGCGACGGCGGCTATCATGTGAACGACAGAAGACACAAACTGTCAACAAATGCTGCTCATGACAACGATGGCGAAGACAATTCAGTATGATGGTGGCAACGCACAATACGAATGTGCGGTAACTGTTCTTCCGTATGCTTCCGTTTCACGAAGGCTGTAGTGCGTTGGCTTGCTGATGTGCTTGTATTGTCGCTGTTTGTGGTAGTGTCACGTGTGGCAACTTTGGCCT